TGCATCTTGAACTTTTAAACTTTATGCTGGAAATATTTTTTTAATTTGATTTTGAGAATAATTTTCTTTACTGAAACTGGAACAGTAAACAGGTTGGTTGGAAGTCATATGATCGCCCTAAATAAACACAGATTAAACTCTCACAAATATAAAGCAATCCACAGTGTTAAAGTCGGCTTGTCGTACGTATTCTGAAATCCCTTTCGGTAATATTTCTTAATAATAATAAAAAAAGATAAAAAACGTTTCCGATATTTTTTGTGTTTTATTTTCAGAGATATTTTTCTACGTAACTGATATTAACTCTCAAATCACCGATTTGTTATAGGTGGAGTCTACACATTTCATCATATTGATTAATATTATATTTTTGCCAGTTACAACTCTCAATTTAAAGAACTGGTAAAAAGAATTTAATGAAATTACTTATTTTCTTTGCGAAATATATAGGAAATCCTAAAAATAACGAGTAGGACTAAATGGAAAATTTAGGGTATTTTTGTCTAATTTGTTGTGTAGCTCGTGTGTCATTAGGAACTTTGCAACTAACAAAATCATTGACCCAAAAGCAAAGAACTTGGTGCATATATGATTCAAAAACCGATGGATTGCATGAATCTGATCTCACCAGAAAATTCCTATTTGAGAAATAGGCTGCGTAGAAATGCAGTATATGTCATGTGAGTCACAGACACATACATAATCGCGGCCTGAAATGTATCAGCGAATTTCTACTGAAAAAAGAAAGGTTAAATATGATAAGGACTTTTACAGAAATGTACGTTGGATTTCAAATAAGGTAACTATTAAAAATAAGTTATATGCTATTGCAAAGTCATATACATATGTCAGAATGCTATGCATATATATTTTAGATTAAATAATTGCATTTTTTTTTCTTTTAAAGGAGGAGATAACTTTTTACATTATTCATCCCCTTTAGACCCCCCTGATATTGTGGTGTTAATTAACTTACTTGTTAGTTAATTTAGTTTCGCCTGAGACTACCTGGAATAAATAGTGATGTGAACAAGGCTTAAGGCAAGTCTATAGGAATATGGGTGAATTAGGTGGATGATATGCTATTTTTACATGACATCATATTGTTACATGTATACCACAAATATTCACACATAGTAAGTGCATAGTTAAAAAAAAACGTACTAAGTAAGACGTATTTAATCTATAAAATCCTTAAATATTTTAGCTAGATAAATTTCTCAGAACGGGGAACAGGCTAAATCGTCATCAAATAACACAAAACCGTAAATATATGATACATCTGGGTATATATTTTGTTATGATTGTTATCAGTTTGTTACTGGCCTTTGTACTCCTAGTTGCCATGCTGCAGGTATCATTAAGTTGACCACTATATCCACCGGAATGACGTCAGCACTTACACTACGATGTACCACCATCGTCCGCAGGATTCCTTTGCCAGTCTGCAAATGAAACGTCTCTATGAAATAAATTTTAAAATAAGACGATCCATGGTATCATAACAGATTAGTGATTATTTAAATAATAATCTGAAGCCTAGTTTTCTGCACAACATTAATGTTCTGGCGCAAACAGTCACATGCTCCTCTTCGATGGCTCAGCGGCAACTTTAAGAGCTTATAACGCTAAAATTAAGATGTTGGGCATATGTAAATTAGGTCCATTAATCAGGAGTATAGTTGAACTTTTCTCTACTAAAGAAACACTAATATGATAAGGTATTACACAACTTGTATTCCAACAACAGCAAACTGGGAAGAAAGTTTATTAGATTGGTTTGTTACTACTTATAAAAAGATAATGATATCGCCCTCTAGCGTTATTAATTCATAAGCAAGTGGAAATTGACTGTAAAAATATTAATATCGAAACAAAAGATAGCTTAATTTTTTACCTTGCTTGGAAAATACCAATAATTCTAATTTTTATAATTTGTACTTCGCTTATAATAGTTGCAGCGAGAAAACCTTTGTTTATGGTTTCATATTGTATTATTTCACTACATGTAAATAAAATGTGGGTAGTATCATCAAATATCTGTATTTCAGTGCATTTCTTGATTCGAGAAAAACCTAGAAGTACTTATTTAAGGTGTGATTGTTTCGATATGATAGAGAAATCGATAACTGCAGCAAAGGTTTCAAAAGGAGTATGAATAGGTGCTAGATTCAGAAAGGAGGCCCCATCCCACCAAACATGCTCGCCCTTTCAGCCGTGAGGGCGTTATAATGTGACGGTTAATCCCACTATTCGTTGGTAAAAGAGTAGCCTAAGCGTTGGCGGTGGGTGGTGATGACTAGCTGCCTTCCCTCTAGCCTTTCACTGCTAAATTAGGGACGGCTAGCGCAGATAGCCCTCGTGTAGCTTTGCGCAAAATTCAAAACAAACAAATCAGAAAGGAGGAGTAAGGGATAGGAGCTAAATGCAAAAATTAGAAGTAAGAGATAGGGTACAGACTCAGGAGTAAGGAATAGAGGCTTGATTCAGAAATGAAGAGTAAGGATACAGTATTGATTCAGAAATGAAGAGTAAGGATACGGTATTGATTCAGAAATGAAGAGTAAGGATACAGTATTGATTCAGAAATGAAGAGTAAGGATACAGTATTGATTCAGAAATGAAGAGTAAGGATACACTATTGATTCAGAAATGAAGAGTAAGGATACACTATTGATTCAGAAATGAAGAGTAAGGATACAGTATTGATTCAGAAATAAAGAGTAAGGATACAGTATTGATTCAGAAATGAGAAGTAATGAATTCACATTTGAGATGTACGGATAGAGTATAAATTCAGAAATGATAGTTCTCAGGTTGAAGCCCCCCAGTGGCACAGCGGTATGTCTGCGGACTTATACACTAGAAACCGGGTTTCGATACCCGTGGTGGGCAGAGCACAGATAGCCCATTGTGTAGCTTTGTGCTTAATTCCAAACAAACAGATTCAAGGTTCAAAAGGATATAGTTAAAGCAAATAACATTTACATGAATGGATTAAGGGACGGATACATGGAAGATTCAAGCACGGAGTAACAGTATATTTAAAATTCATAACTAGCATTTTGAAAAGTTAGTTTTTCGGGCTCACTCATAACTTGAAATAGAAACTTTTAAAGATGAAACAGCATGCTTTCGGAATTTCTTTTAAGAAATGGAACAAAACTTTTTGATTTTAAATGTATATCAGAAAGTATTTACAATATATACCTTAATCTAACTTACTGTGTTAACAATATATACCTTAATCTAACTTACTGTGTTAACAATATATACCTTAATCTAACTTACTGTGTTAACAATATATACCTTAATCTAATTTACTGTGTTAACGATTTCTACCTTAATCTATCTTATCGTGCGTTAACAAAATATATACTTTAGTCTATCTTATCGTGCGTTAACAAAATATATACATTAGTCTATCTTATCGTGTGTTAACAATATATACCTTAATATAAGTTATCATATGTTAACAGTATATACCTTAATCTAAGTTATCACATGTTAACAGTATATACCTTAATATAAGTTATCGCGTGTTAACAAAATATATCTTAATATAACTTATTTTGTTAAAAATATATACCTTAATCTAGCTTATTGTGTGTTAAAAATATATACCTTAATATAAGTTATCACGTGTTAACAAAATATATCTTAATCTAACTTACTTTTTTAAAAATATATACCTTAATCTAACTTATCGTTTGTTAAAAATTATACCTTAATCTAAGTTATCATGTGTTAACAATTGCACCTTAATCTAAGTTATCATGTGTTAATAATATATACCTTAAGCTAACTTATCATGTGTTAACAATTACACCTTATTCTAACTTATCATGTGTTAATAATATATACCTTAATTTAACTTATTGGATGTTAACAATATATACCTAAATCTAACTTATCGTGTGTTAATAATATATACCTTAATCTATCTTATCTTTTTTTTTGTTGTTGTTGTTGTTGAAAACTTACCGCAACAATAAATCCTGAAGTTCCATTCAGGTTGTCCACCCAACCCTAAAAGTAGAGACACGGGGCTTGTTATCTTAAAACAGTAAACAACACTATCACACAGTTCAAAAGTGCACGTCCACCGCATAGAATATGTCATTTTATGAATAAAAATAAAATATCTGGGTAATATAAGTAATTACGTACAGACCTGTTGGCACTGGGGTATCCACCACTTAGTAACAAGCCGTTTTAACAATAGAAAAGTTTTACAAGTTATACATATGTAATACCGTGATGTCATCCTTGAAGATTGTGGTTCTGTTCATGCTTTGGGTCAGATGAAAAATAATAGTAATTATATAAAGATATACAATAGCTCAACCAATTCCTTAAGCATAATTTATTCCACTGAAAAATAGTTACATTGCATAAGACATATAGAGGGACATCATTGATATTTTCAAGCAGTTCTAACAAACACACTTTAACTTATTTTCTCGAAACATGTGCAGACGGTGCAGTCCTTCAATTGTGATTAAACTTTCTATATTAGCCTCTATTATCGATAGATAGATAGATAAAGTGGGTGTTAAATGTAAAGCGTTAACAAAGTTCTCACGAAATATTAAATAGACCTTTACTGGCGATAAGAGAAAAGAACAAATCTCTACATACTGGAATGGGTTCTTTCCATGATGCTGTGATGATCGAAGGACGTATTATGGCTATTGGTAGGCCTACTCCCTCTGTTAATAGCAAGTTTTCAGCCAAAGCCTTAGTGTAATGATAGTTACATGGTCTTCCCTTAATTAGATGAGGAGTGATAGCGTCAAGTAAGCTGTCCGACATCCATCTGAAATTATGTAGTACTTAAATTAAATATTTAAGCTGTTACGACTTATCAAAAGTTAATATTTAAGCTATTAAGACTTATTTAAAGTAAACATTTAAGCTGTTAAGACTTTTTAAAATTAATCGTTTAAATTATTAAAGCTATCTAAAGTAAACATTTAAGCTATTAAGATTTATTTAACGTAAATGTTTAAGTTATCAATACTATTTAGATTAAATATTTAAGCTATTAAGACTTATTTAAAGTAAATATTGAAGCTAGTAAGCAAACATTTGTTGATGTGAGTGAGCACTATATACTAAATATACAGACAGTAGCATGTGGAATATACAAATACAGTTTCTTTATATTATGGTACTTCTACATCCAAGTTTCCACTGACGCTGTGCTATGAGGACTAAATCATATGTTTTTTTTAACAAATTAGTTTTTCTTTTGTTTTAGACTAAAGGTGATATGTATACATAGAAAAAAGAACAGAAAAATATTAAAGGATTTCTTACAAGGTCATTTACATTATCTATCTGTATGACTTCCTGGTAGTTTTCTTGCTATCAGTCTTTATGTGAATCTTGATCCTATCGGACTTTTTGACAATAGATATATATAAATAAACTAACTGACAGAAAATAGTAGCTGTTTGTATACTACAAGGAATCACTTACTGCGTGGCATGTATGATACTTGTGGGAGAAACCGTTTCTGTATACACAACTTCGCCTATATCTTGGCGATTACAGTTGCTATATGCTGTAGACACGTGGATTAAGGCCTAGACAAAAAAAAAACTAAGTAAAGAAGAACAACTGAATTTAGGTAATAAGCGAACAAAACAGAAAATAAAAATAACCGGGAAAAAATAACACATATTCAAGTTGTATTACTGTCGACAGATAACTTATGTATTTTTTTTTCATTTACTTTTTATTTTTACTGTTCATTAAAAGTGAACACTTATGGAAATAAATGTTAATGTAACAGAAATGGTAAAAAACATATGAGTTTTATATAGTAGCCGTGGAGTTAATGTGTACACAGTATTATTGATAGTAAAATGATTTTGTTACGCACGTCTATATCTTTCAATCATTATACTTTAAAATGGTTATCGATATCTGTCCGAAATATACTGTGCTTTGTTAGTTTTTGTCATTGTTAGCTTACTAACGGGGAATTTAGTAAAACAAACGGATTATTGTTAATTTACTGACATGGTATTTAGTAAAAAACAGTTAGTCATTGTTAGCTTACTTACAGGCCTTTTAGTAAAACAAACGGATTATTGTTAATTTACTTACATGGTATTTAGTAAAAAACAGTTAGTCATTGTTAGCTTAATAGCAGGGAATTTAGTAAAACAAACGGATTATTGTTAATTTACTTACATGGTATTTAGTAAAAAACAGTTAGTCATTGTTAGCTTACTAACAGGGAATTTAGTAAAACAAACGGATTATTGTTAATTTACTGACAGGGCATTTTGCAAAACCAGTGGGTTGTCTGTGAACATACTAGCAGAGCATTTGATAAAAACAGTGAGTGAGATTATAATAACAGGGCATTTGGTAAACCCATTGTTAGCATAATAGCAGAGCATTAGCAGTCACAGGTTAACTAAACTTAAATACCAAATCACCACAGTGTTTTCTAGTGAGAGAATTATTAATGAAAGTTTAAATAGCAGAACGAGGACTCAAATAAACATTCATTTATGTCGTTTATTCTGTCCACGTCGGTTTGTTTGTTTTTTGAATTTCACGCAAAGCTACACGAGGGCTATCTGCGCTAGCCGTCCCTAATTTAGCAGTGTAAGA